TTTTTTTTTCAAACCTTTGCTCATTTTCTGAAAATCTGTTCCAAATGGCAAACTAAAAAACAATAAAACATTATTTACTTAGAAACCCTTTTAATTTGCTGATATTGTAATTAGGTAGACACTGTATTTACAAATTAAAACTTGAAAAGGTTAATATATATCGTTTTGCAACAATATTTTTTAAATAATTAAAACTGTTTTTTTTATTTTAAGCATTCCTAAGTTTCATAGTCTATATGTAACATTATTATAAAAATGTCATGTTTTCAAAGAGTTGTCCTCTTTTTACAGAGAAATTCATTGCTTACGTTTCAACAGGTTTTGAACAACATCCCTTCAGTTTTAAAATTTTAAAATTTAAGTAAGTTTTACATTTTTTAATTTCTATTTCACGAAATATTTTTTTTTTAATTTTCTGTATTTATTTTAGTGGGTGTCATAAATTATTGAGTTATTTCTATCATGGCTTTTCATCTCAGTTATGAAATTAAGTTGTTAAAACTTGTTAAAAATGCTGCCATTGAACAGATCTTTTGAAATCGAGCAAATATTTGACATTCCAATCCATATAATTTTTATTTGAAATGCCGCTGAATTTTTTTTTACCGACGAGAAAATAGTTGAATTAATCATTTAGCTTTCTATTTAATCTAAAAAGAAATATTGAAGAATGCGTTTTTATTTTTAAAAAATCATTTTAAACCTTAGATATCTAAAATTTATACCGAGATAATGGAGGCGTGTAAATTATTCTGTATATCGTTTTTTTCCAATTTCCATATTTGTGTCTTTGTTTAAATCCGTTATAGACCCGCGCATGTACATTTTTTTTACCTGTGCTCACGTGTTCCTTCATAAATTTAATTATTTTTCAATTATATATTTTGTAATATTTATTTTTGTTTGTATGTGTATATTTGATTGGTTATATATATGTATTGTATTCTGTTTATTATATTATGTTATATTTTTATTTAATTTATATTCGTTTCTGTTGTATTTATTATATTATGTTGTATTAATATGTAAGATGGAAAGTAAATATTTATTAAAATGTCTGCATTTAGCTATTAATTCATTTCTCCTGTTTAATAATTCAATTTGATTATTGAAATCTATTATATAAAATTATTCTTCTAAATATGGTGTATATTTTCTATTATTTTTATTATATTGGGGTATTTTTATGATTTCCCATTTGACCTTAGTTTATAGTTTTTTTCTTTCTGACTCCATATATATTTTGATAATGTTGTATTATTTGCGTATCTGTCTATTTTAAATTTATTTTTATAAGTTGATTCAGTTGCTCCTATATAAATTTTTTCCTCAGTGTTAATGCTATTTGATACAGTTGCTTTATATATTATATTATTAGTTAGGCATTTATTATTTAGTGAGGAGTTGTTTTTATTTTGACAATTGTTGCTATTTTGTGGATTTTTGTCATTGTTATTGCTATTATTTTTGTTTAATGTTTTTATGATGTATTTTTTATTTTTTCTCAATGTTAATCATACAATTATAACTGATTTTAACTGTATTTTATTTTATATATATATATATATATATATATATATATATATATATATATATATATGAGAATCATTTTATATTTTTTTTATCTATATCTTTATGACAGTCATTTTCTATCTATCTATGAGAGTCATATCTATCTATTTCGATCTCTTTATAGTCATCTTTCTCAAATCTAACTAACGAACTATTTCATTTTGTTCATATCTATCTCATATATACAACCTCCCTCTTTCTCTTACTCTCTCTCTTACCCTTTCTCTCTTACTCTCTCTCTCTTGCTCTCTCTCTCTTTCTCGTAATCTCTCTCTTGCCATCTTTTACTCTCTCTCTCTTACCCTCTCTCTTACTCTTTTACTCTCTCTCTCTTGCTCTCTCTTACTCTCTCTCTCTCTTTCTAAAAAGAACGTATAAACATAAAAAATATCTTAATAAAATAATTGTCGGACTTTGTCCATTTCATAATGCATAATAATGGACTCTCCCGTCGGTTTCGACGTATGAGGATCTGAGAGCTTATTTATTCAGTTATGAAAGTTTATGCGCTAATCTTAAGTGGCACTTAAGACCCGCTAGTGATTTACAAAGGAGGCCACATATGGAGCAAGTGTGAGGATTGTGAAATGAGATCACTGTTAGATTGGCTGACCTTTTAGATCTAGATCAAGATCATAATACATATATATATATTTATATTTATATATATTTGCGCACAATCCCCACTACGAAATACTTTAAACCCATAAAAATAATATACTTTAAAACTATATTTTCTTACAGTCACACACTGTTGTGGAGTATTTTCACAGTGGAGGATTGTATTTCTAATAAGTCGTACAAAACGTTAGGAACTTGAAAATAAGAGTCAATGGCGCAGCAATCTAGTTGTGATGGTTGGTACTTCAAATGTCCGAATCTCGACTGACGTTCTCAACACCATTCTGCCAGACTTGGCACTGCTACTCCTACTTATTATCTATGGGAGAGTCCATTACCAAAGAATAGGTACTATGGCACAACACACACACACACACACGCCACGCACACACAGTCTCACTCTCTCTCACACACACGCATACATATATAGATAGATATGAACAGAGTGAGATACATAAAGAGATACGAGATGATTGTCAACGATAGATAGATAGATAGATAGATAGATAGATATGAACAGAGTGAGACAGATAAAGAGATACAAGATGATTTTCAAAGATAGATAGATAGATACAGTTACATACACACTGATATAGTTACATAGATAGATAGATAATGAATAGTCCGAGATAGATAGATAGATAGATAGATAGATAGATAGATAGATAGATAATTAACAAACTGAGATTGATAGATAGATAAACTGTACTGAGATAGATATTGAGAGACTGATAGATAGATATATAAAGTGGCTGTCATATACATATATATACAGTGTGAGTTAGATAAAAAAACACTGTCATTGATAGATAGATAGATAGACAGACAGACAGACACATAGATAGATAGATAGATAGATAGATAGATAGATAGATAATGAACAGACTGAGATAGATATGAACATCATGAAATAGATAGATACATAGATATGAAGAGACTGTGATAGATAGATAGATAGATAGATAGATAGATAGATAGATAGATAGATAGATATGAACATCATGAAATAGAGAGATACATAGATATGAAAAGACTGAGATAGATAGAGAGATATGAATAGACTGAGGTAAATAGATAGATAGATATGAAGAAACTGAGATAGATAGATAGATAGATAGATAGATAGATATGAACATCATGAAATAGATAGATACATAGATATGAAGAGACTGAGATAGATAGATAGATAGATAGATAGATAGATAGATAGATAGATATGAAGAGACTGAGGTAAATAAAGAGATAGATATGAAGAGATAGATAGATAGATAGATAGATAGATAGATAGATAGATAGATAGATATGAAGAGACTGAGATAGATAGATAGATAGATAGATAGATAGATAGATAGATAGGATAGGATATAATGATTACCAAGAAAGTTCTGAAGTCTTGAGAGAGAATAATACTTCAAATCTGGTGTATTTTGCTAAGGCAAATGAAATTCCTCATTGATCTCCGAATAATCCCGAGAGGAATTCAACAATTGACAAGATTCGATGAGAATAAGATGAATAGGCGTCTTGAAAAAGATTTAAGAAACTAAGTAAGGAAACAGATTGACAAGGAAATAACTCATTGTGGCTTTTCGTTTTACCTATTTTGGCTTTGATATGAATTGTAACTATTATCTCCGGCTTAGCATATTCGTTTACTCAGTCGTGCGAAAAAAATGTTCCTCGCCCGAATGTATCTCGCACCTTTATAAGTCTAGACTAACACAGTATTTCACGGACGATAGTAGTAAGATTCGTCGGCGACTGTCGAATTCTCTGCATTAGCAGAGAGGAACCCGGACGAGGATTTGTCGAAGGGCAAGGTTTCGTCCGGGGAGGTTGACAGGGCCTGAATCCGTCTAGGCGGGTTCAGAAAGGCCATATTTTTAGCCGAGTCTACGGGCTCGGGGATACCCACATTAAAATGGCCTTGTGCCACATTCGATCCTCGTGGGTGGATTGATAAATACCGACGATACAGAATGAGTGAAAGCAAAAGGAATGGCGAATGGAATGGCTTTGTTCTCTTAGAGATTTTTATACCACTAAGACATACACAAAAGTATATACATATATATATATATATACACGTGTCTCACGCAGAGGATAATATATCACGTATATCTGAAGATCAAAACCTAGAGTAAGGTAGAAACAAAAAAGTCGTGTCATACATATAATATGGAGATACTTCTATGTCTGGAGAAGTCATGTTTACGACTCCAGATTTAATTTGGCCGGATTCATTTACGATTTTCCGGGCGAGGACATATTGCACGAACGAGAAACAGCGAATCTCGGGTTCTCCCGCGTTGAAAACTGCGATCCAGTGTTTCTTTCTATGTCTGGAAAAGATATATTCACAAAGAGAAATGACACCATGGAATTGTAAGCTTTGGGAAAAGCAGATTTAACCTCTTCCCGAGCCATAGTGGGGAATGGAGAGGCAGACTAAAGGAAGCAACCTCTAGATTCCGCTACTGTAAACCGACTGTAATTGACTGCCGCTTTAGTCACTGTATGGTGTGGCGTCACTAAGCGGTCTGTCACTTGACCCACGTGTCTTTATCATTTGTGCATTGTGCATTGAATATTGCTTTCAGATCTGGTCTCGTGTTTTTGCTAAGTATCTAAATATTTTTTAACAAAATCGAAAGACGAATCTGCAATGAGTCCTGGCTTGGCATCTTGGCTTCAGTCACTGTCGTAACGTCTCTTCGCTGTACCTGTCTTCTGCAGATATTTTCATTTACACTATTTACGTCATACGGACTATTGTTCTCATCTTTATTGCCACATTCACGACGTATCGGCCGTTGTACGCTTCAACCTTATTGAGGTGATATACTCTTGGAAAGAATTGTTGTAACTTAGAAAATGTCACTGAATGAGAAATAACCAAAACGTAGGTTGGAAATGAAATGGTAATCTTTATAACATCAACAAAATGCAATACTCGCCAGCGGCGTGTAGTAGGTAAACCACTGCTAGTGGTGGACTACTTAGACACCATATTACCCCCACTTACAATGTCCAACGATTTTATGAGAATTTGGACATACCCATTTGTTATGGTAATTTACACACGTATGCATAGTCTCTCCCAGTTATAAATAGGAGCAGTTACTGCCTTTTGGAAGGGTGAAGTTTCCAGCAGTCAGCTCTGACAATCGAACCGAACTTTCTTGCTGTAACACTCTCGTTTATATATGTTTGTATTACTGTTTCTGTTAATATATTTGTTGAGGTCAGTTCCTCTCTTGCCCTAACCAGGCCACAGCACCATTAGTGTTAACATGTATGGCTATATAACAACTCTAAAAATCAGAAATTGTAATATGAGCTCTGGCAAAAAAAAGAAACGTGATTACTGAGATATTAAGTTGATAATTCATTAAAATCCACTCACAGATATTCCAAAGGCACATGACCCAATGGATAAACGCGTTGGGGTGAGTAATCCAAAAAGTGACCTGACCTATGGAATTTTTTGTTCGGAGGGAACAAAATCTTTGAGAGTTGAGGTACTAAAGGGAATTAACTGATACTGAAAGGGCGTGGCATAAGAAAAATCTACCCCATGGAATAAATGAAGGGTACGGTTCGAAATGGAAGTATGGGGCGTACAATGGCCGAAACGTCGTGAATATGGCAATAAAGATGCGGGCAACAGTCCGAGCGATGTAAATAGTAACAATACGTCGTCCGAAAAATATAGACAGATCCTGAAGAAGGGCGGAGCGTACAACAGCCGAAACGTCGTGGTTATTGCAATAAGGGTGCGGACAAGAGTCTGAACGATGTAAATAGTTACAATACGTCGCCTGAAAAATATAGACAGATCTTGAAGAAGGGCGGAGCGTACAACAGCCGAAACGTCGTGGTTATTGCAATAAGGGTGCGGACAAGAGTCTGAACGATGTAAATAGTTACAATACGTCGCCTGAAAAATATAGACAGATCCTGAAGAAGGGCGGAGCGTACAACAGCCGAAACGTCGTGGTTATTGCAATAAGGGTCCGGACAAGAGTCTGAACGATGTAAATGGTTACAATACGTCGCCTGAAAAATATAGACAGATCCTGAAGAAGGGCGGAGCGTACAACAGCCGAAACGTCGTGGTTATTGCAATAAGGGTGCGGACAAGAGTCTGAACGATGTAAATAGTTACAATACGTCGCCTGAAAAATAGAGACAGATCCTGAAGAAGGGCGGAGCGTACAACAGCCGAAACGTCGTGGTTATTGCAATAAGGGTGAGGACAAGAGTCTGAACGATGTAAATAGTTAAATACTTCGTCTCAGAAATATAGACAGATCCTGAAGATGGGCTAGCGTACAACAGCCGAACCGTCATGAATATGGCAATAAAGATGCCGTCATCAATCCGACCGATGTAAATAGTGTAAATAGTTACAATACGTCGTCTGAGAAATATAGACAAATACTGAGGAAGGCCGGAGCGTTCACTGGTCGAAACGTCGCGAATATGGCAATAAAGATCCGGACAAGAACCTGAAGAATGTAAAAAGTTACAATATCTTTTCTTTCTCTATTTTTTGCTTCCTTTTGCCTGGTATACAGCTGATTTGCTATCGACCATCATTGAATATATATATATATATATATATATATATATATATATATATATATATATCAAGCTGTTGATATTAACGGCGAAGCTCGAGCTGTGGATGTAGATATCTCGAAGGCGTTCCACAGGTTCTGCCACGCTGGTCTTCTACGTAAGCTCCAGGGATAAGGTATTGCAGGACGCGAGTTTAATTTAATCCAGTCCTTCCTATAACATCATGAAATGAAGGTCGTTTTCAACGGGATCTCTTCCAGATCCTTTAACCCAAATGCCGGTGTGTCCCAAGGTTCTATGATGGGTTCTACGCTGTTTCTAATCTTCATCAATGATATCCGTGATGTCATCAGTTCCCAAGTAGGCATTTATGCTGATGACACTACCATTTACTGCCGTCTCAGTAGCAAATACCCCAGAGTTGACAGTTAACCTGGCCGCTGCTCTTGAAAACGACCTCCAATCTGTTGTTAACTAGGCCATGAAACAGCTCGTGAATTTTAATGCCTTCAAAACGAAACTGTTCTCATTTAACCACGAGAGAGAAGCTTTCCTGCTCGCCATCAACATGGCTAATGGTAGACTCATGAAAAGCAATATTGTCCGCCTTCTTGGCTTCACGTTTTCAACTGACTTGACGTGGAACGCTTGTATCGAATCAATAGGTGCATCTACTGCAAGGAAATTTGGGATACTGTGTCGTGCCAAAAGATTTTTCTCGTCAATCTCCATCTTGCACATTTACAAATCTACCATTCGTACGTCCAAAGAAGAATCTGCAATGTAAGCGATCCTGACTTGTCATTTCGACATCAGTCACTTTCTCACCAACGTTACATAGGTCCCCCCTCTGTCTTTTCTACAAATATTTTCATGGCAACTGCTCTGACCAGCTTTATTCTCTGGTGCCCAGACCACATGTGTTTAACCGGCAACTAGATTGGCATCTAGGTCCCACCCTTTTGCTATTGAATTAGGTAAATGCAACCACCACTTTTACACCAACTGTTTCTTTTCTCGCACTTCCCTCCTGTGAAAATCCCTTCCATTCCCTTGCTTCCCTGATGACTACAATCTTCAAAAATTTAAATGCAATGTCAATCGGCATCTTCTGTCGTCTTGAACCCCGTTTAGCTTTTATCCTTTCTTCGGTGCCCCTATAGCCTGATTTTTCTCTGACTTTCACTCTCTGTAACTGTAATGGTAAATTACCCAAGCACGCATGGACACTCCCAGCTATAAATAGGAACAGGTACTTCCTTTTTGCAGAGAGAAGTTTCCAGAAGTCAGCTCTGACAGTTGGACCGAACATTCTTGCTGTAAACCTTTCGTATGTTTGTATTACTGTTTCTGTTAATATATATGTTTAACTCAATTCCTCAATTTGCATCTTTATTTCTGGCCCTAACAGGGCCACAATAGTAACCCCTTGGGTACTAGTGGCATTCCCGCCTTGCTAAAAACACTCGGTGTGGCGTAATGGATAACGGCTTGGGATGAAGAATCGGAGGGAAGAGTTCGAATTCCAGTCGGATTGATTGCATTTACTTACGCGCAAATAACTTTCCGAAAGGTAGGGATACATCTCTACACTGATCCGTTTAAACAGCAGCACAGATTGATTCTTATAGACTTAAGTAGCAAACAATTTACCGCAGAAAGTAATCGCAGCCTAATGCGGGAACAACTGAAATGTGGCCATGAATCGAAAGAGACATCAAGCGTGTATGACGTTTGGCATTTTACTGACTAAACTGTAAAAAATATAAACGAATGAAAGGGAAGTCGACGTCATCGTTCCCCATAAATCCTGTTCTTTTAAAACTCTTTATATTCGAACAAGTTTTGGTCGCTTTGCTCCCAGAACTTCACAGGTTACCCGGGTAAGACGATAAACTACATCCGCGTCCTGGGTAAGACGATAAACTGCATCCGTGTCCTAGGTAAGACGATAAACTACATTCGTGTCCTGGTTAAGAAGAAAAACTACATCCGTGTCCTGGGTAAGACGATAAACTACATCCGTGTCTTGGGAAAAAGATAAACTACATCCGTGTCTTGGGTAAGACGGAAAAACTACATCCGTGTCCTGGGTAAGACGATAAACTACATCCGCGTCCTGGGTAAGACGATAAACTACATCCGTGTCCTGGTTAAGACGATAAACTACATCCGTGTCCTGGTTAAGACGAAAAACTACATCCGTGTCCTGGGTAAGACGATAAACTACATCCGCGTCCTGGGTAAGACGAAAAACTACATCTGACAGCAAGGTCTCTGATCAGAAAATTTTGAGAATCTTAGGACCCCCCCATCTTAACAGCTTATGTTCTCATGTTCAACATGACCGGGGGTGGTACCCCTTTTTAGTGTCCCTGCTATGGATGAATAGTTAACCCCCAAACTAGGGTCATAACGTTTAAAAATAGGTTTTAATACCAGCAATACATTTTTGTAAAATATTACCAAAAATGAATTTTTGAAGGAAAGTTTATTACCAGCAATGAATTTTTGAAGAAAAATTATTGCCAGCAACGAATTTTTGAAGGAAAAATTATTACCAGAAATGAATATTTGAAGAAAAAATTAGTACCAGCAATGAATATTTGAAGAAAAATTGTTACCAGTAAATAATTTTTGAAGGAAAAATAATTACCAGACATGAATTTTTGAAGAAAAATTGTTACTAGCAATTAATTTTCGAAGGAAAAATATTATCCACCAATCTACTACAATCTTAACCTGTTCGAGTCTAGGGTTAACCGTTATCTTCCCCACATACCTCCATAAACTCTGCTTCTCATTCTGTAAGCCTCTACATTGAGTGGCTCTTGGGCCTTGAACAGAGTGAACATCACTTTAAAAAAAATAAGGACGAATATCGCACGAAGTAATTCGAAAATGAAATTAAATACCGGGTAAGAAAAACACCCGAAAATGATTTAATTTCCTATCTACGGGTGGATGGCACCAAATAAGAATCCTTCTTGAAAAGATCTTCAATTTGTAGCATTCAGTCGTAATGAAGACTTTTTTTTTTTGTAACATTTTATTTTTATTTATTGTGTGTGAGAGGCAGGGTTAATTGCTGTGCTAATCGAGTTAAACTTTTTCGCTAATTTCCCGAGTTGATGAAATTAAAAACCAATTATGAATCAAACGTTCCCAGAGATCGTACAGAAGCACACACGTTTATTTCTCTCATCTCTCTGTCTCTAGCTATACATATATATATATATATATAAATATATATATATATAAATATAATATAATATAATATAATATAAAAGTCTCAAACACCAGTATTCCATGGTTATAATTTATTAGACTGGAATCGTAATCACGATCCAAATCATCAGACCTACGCTTTTTGAATTTGCAGCTCTGATGATTTTGATCGTGATTACGATTCCAATGTAATAAATTATAACCATGGAATATTAGTTTTTGAGCCTTTTATATTATATACTTACTCTGTCCTGGACATTTGAGTTCTACCTGGATTCTATCCTCTTGGATTTATATATATATATATATATATATATATATATGTGTGTGTGTGTGTGTGTGTGTGTGTGTATATATATATATATATATATATATATATATATATATATGTGTGTGTGTGTGTGTGTGTGAATATATATATGTATATATATATATATATATATATATATATATATATATATATATATATACGTATGAGTAATTATACTCGTCTACTAAAACCTTAGGTGTTTTGGCTTGTAAATAAAGAAACCAATACCCAATGAAAAAATAGGGATAAAAAAGAAATAATTAAGAACATGAAATTGAGGCGAAAACAATCGTCCAGAATCCAAGTTCAGAGTTCAAAGAAATGAAAATACCAAAACGAGTAAAGCAAAAGTAACGAAGTAAAGTGCTCAATATGCTAACTAGAACATAAAAATATAAAAGAAACTCTCATCAATAATAACTTCTTCAACTACATCGGTGACGAGCAAATAAGATGCTCCATCTGAGACCTCTAGAGAAAATATATAGAGCATGATACCTCACAACTAACCCCAAACATATCAACCTTTTATATTGTAACTAGATGCGTGCTAATTATAAACAAGATGAAAATATCCTTAAAAAAATGAAGAAAAACTAATACATTCACTAGAGATCCGAGTAAAAAAATAAATAAATAAAGCACTAAAGCCACTATATATAATCTAATTCGTAATAAGTCTTCCCCGGTCACTTGCATGTTGCAGAAATCCAACATCGTTTATAAATTTAAATGTCCTCTAGGAGACTGTATCTCCAACGATACAAATAATATTTATGTTGGACGCACGACAACAACGCTTTCACGTAGGCTTACTCTTCACTTGAATAACACTTCCAATATTTCTAAACAATTAAAACAACATATTGTTCACACACGCAATTGAGAAAAATCTTTGTCCAGAATACCTCCATACTTTTCCACGAAAATAATGAGCACAAACTAAAAATCTTCGAAGCTATTTATATCAAAAAATTGAAGCCAAATCACAATAAAATTAATTAGGACTACTCTACAAACATCTCAAAATATGTACAATAGATAGTCTTTAAATATTCGCGCTTGTCATTAATAGTTTTTCCTTTTTCTAGCAACTATTCAAATCCGGAAATTTTCCAATGCATACCTAGTTACCTCCCCTTAAACGGTGTCTACCAACCAGTAATGACCCAGCATTCGTGACTCCACATATAGAAATGGTAATTTTCAGATGACCACAACAATTTCTGTCCTTCACAACCATGAACAATAAATACTTACTTTATATTTAACAATAACCTGATGATGACATTATGCTATGTCGAAAGTCCTCGGAATAAATACAATATAAGTCAACACTGTTTTTCCTCACGTCTTTTAATAAACGCACAAATATATATATATATATATATATATATATATATATATATATATATATATATATATATGTGTGTGTGTGTGTGTGTGTGTGTGTGAAGAGAGGAGAGATGAGAAATATATATATATATATATATATATATATATATATATATTTGTGTAAATGAAATAAATCTACCTAGGTTTCACTCTAAACAGATCTTCAGGGTAAGCTGGCGCAGAGAAAATGACATGAAACCGTATTTATTGATAAAACCACTAAAACTAATTTGCATAAAACTGGACTTTTGTATATATATATATATATATATATATATATATATATATATATATATATATATATATAATTTATAATTCATTCATTCGCAGACAGTACTGTTTCGCTGTTTAATAAATGCTCTGTTTAAATAAACAGCATTAATAACATTTACTTAAAAATTTGTATCTATAAAAAGAACGTATAAACATGAAAAATGTCTTAAATAAATGTCGGATTTTGTTCATTTCATAGTGCCATTTGTTTACATTGGATACGCATCGAGCAGATATGAATGAATGAAGAATTTTGTTTAAAAACAGTAAAAGCAAGCCTGTTCTTCTGTGGCTCAAACGGTTGAGGCATGCCAGTTTATATAACGGTTCCGTATAGGATACAGGTTCGATTCCTGTTGGAGGGCGATATTTTTTCTATGAAAATTTCTCGGACATTCAGGCCGGTAAATGTTATCAATACTGTTTATTATAAACAGAACATTTACTGAAATATTTGTATCTATTAAAAGAATTTATAAACATAAAAAAATGTCTTAAATATATATATATATATATATATATTCATTTTTTTTGGGGGGGTGTTTGTGTGAAGTGAAATGCATACACCTGTATGTGTGTGTCTATGTATGTGACAGAAATCCCCCCCCCAACAAACATAATCAGAACTGAATATATTAGCTCTATCACTGATATTGAGCACTTACCAATGGGTACTTCGCATATATATATATATGTATATATATATATATGAAGAAATATAGCTTTACGGTATGCTATATTTTATATATTTATGGGATAAAGTATTCTATATCAGAGATAGAGCATAAGTAAAGATAAATATTGCATCCAACATGAAACAGCCTGTCGCCTCTGCGTGTTGACTTCAATATTCACTATATATATATATATATATATATATATATATATATATATATATATATATATATATATATATATATATATCCAGGATCTTCAGGGTAATCTGGCTAATGAGAATTGACAGGAAATAGTATTTATTGATAAAACCACTAAAAACTAATTAGCATAAATCACGTGACAGAAGAAGATAGAGAAAAAAAAAACCAGAGCTATTCCATTAACCAGGATTTCCTATACTTACACCTATTTAAAATATCAGATTTTTGATTTAATTATTAGGTTCAAAGGAGGTGGATATTACTAACTTTTCCTCGATACATAATAAGCAATACTTGCTCCCTGCTTTATACTTGTGGAATATTTTTAAGTATTTCCCATTTTGAAATGTGGTCAATACCATCTTCCTGTCCTGTTTAATATCTCATATATATGTAGACAGGCTAGTACTTTGTAATTTTCATGCTTAAAGCCACTTAAATGATTGTAGTAACGCTTTTTGAAATTACCTCGGATGATGTGTGTGTGTGTGTGCGTGTGTGTGTAACGAATGCACGGTCTTAATTTTCGATGGATTTGCACTAAAATTTGCATGCAGATGCTCCAAGTTAGCGGTAAAGCCAAGACAGACTTTGCATTTCCCAACTTCCATCGATTGTGGATATAATCAATATTTTCATGCTTCTACGGCAGTTTTCATGTAGTTTGCGGCCATTTTCTACTGGCCAGAGTGAGAGCCTATAGCTGGCTGC